GGAAAAGGGTACCCGGCTATAGACAGTGAACGATTTTGTCAGTTCGTTCTTCAATGTAGTTATGAGTTACAGTGTTTGAACGCTTAATCTGCTGATTGCACTATATTCTTCCCGGGAAGCCGATAATGTTTCTGAGTATTCTGGGGGCTTTTGAGGCCCTGATCAAAAGCAAAATCTGTCCTCTGAAAGCTTTGACTGCTGGCGATGCCCATTCCCGTTGATTCATTCAATACTCGAACTTGTTGGGTAGGACCAGTTTCTGGGTTGCAGTGTTTAGGCTATCCGACTTGACACACAAGATGTGATTTCAAATCCCGAGAAGGAAAGGGGGGGGGGTAGGCAGAGAAGGCGGAGGAGGAGACTGGGGAGTTCTGGAGTTTCTCCGCCACTCCGAGTTGGTCCCGTCCTGAACGGAAGGTCGAAGAAGGTTGTCTCTTAAGTTGTTTAAATTGTTTTTGCTCCTGTCGCTTGAAAAAAAAACTTTTTCAAGCGACAGGAGCAAAAACAAATTAAACAACTTAGTGGAGGCTGAGGCCGTTTTCTAGGTACTATTTTCAGTAAGATATATCGGGTAGCAGGCTACTTCACAAATGATGATTCATAATTTTTTTTAAAATGAAGGGTATCTTCAACTGAAAACAAAAATGTCCGCACTGTTTAAGTTATTAATTTAACAACTTTGAGGATGCTTGTACAAATGTATGCAATTTCCCATTCTCAGTGGTGTTTCACATTAACAATAGAATGGCGGGCAAGTGGTTGATCGAGCTCCCTCCCATCTCTTAGATCAATGGCCGGCCCAGGGGGTGTCTTTATGAAAAACGGGAAATCTTTGGAAACAGCGGGAAGAGAGCAGAGAGGGCTCCAGGGGCCGAGTGGCCAGTGAGTTCTAATGTACATACCATAAAATGTCGGTGAAAAGACGTTTACAGGGTGGTCACCAGGCGTTCCTTGACCAAAACACGAAAACTTTGTCTGCTGGTACTGCATGATACAGCAGACGTTGTAGCGTAGGCCTGTTGGTTTGGTACTGATTCTTCAGTCAGTTTGGTAAATTATCATGCTTATGCATTTATGTACACATGTAAGCTTTTTTCAGGGGCAAAGGCCGACTTGTTTGACAGGGTAATCAAAGTTAGACAAAGAACCAGATATGTCACACACGAAAAGCTTTGCCACATAAAGAATACCATTTTAAACAAAACTTCTTACCCTGGGTGGAATCATTGAATTGTGAATGAAAACAGAGAGTCCTGAATTTATATTGTATGTTCACCCTCCGAAATAATCGAACCCCCCCCCCTTCAATTAATATTTATTTCCTCTTTGGGCAAAACACAATATTATAACTTTAAAACGTACGGTGGGGAAAATAGTCTCGGGATTTTCAACAGTAGGCTTACATTTCATTTAATGAAGCCATAAATGCACAAACAGAAGGCACGGGAGCAGAGGTGACAATACATGTACTACAGATGTAAATGTTATATTATCAGTTTGGTTTCAAATTTGGTTGCTTTCATCTTGCCTTTAATTTCGTGGCCAGGAGCCGCTACCATAATCAAGCCACGACCTGCTTACAGAGCGGCAAAAAGTCAAAGAAAAACACAGCAAGTACTCAGCAGTCCTGAATGAGATTATTAGAAGTTGCCTCCCCCCCACCTTTTTAGGTAGACTCTACCAGCCTCATTTTTAACTTATATAATAAGTGTTTGTGACTGCTTATGAGGAGAGTTGGCCAAAAGGGGTGAGCGGGGATATGCATGTCATGCTTATTGGCGAGTTTATGATCGTCTATTTAAATCTATGAGGCCTACGTCTATATGGTCTATGTGTGAATTTGACTGCAACGATACTCCCAAATCATGGAAGGGGAACAGCGATCGATTGTGCAGACCTCTCAGGTGTAGGGTGTAGACGCTTCGCCCCTGGGTGTATTTAGTTTTAGAGTTACAAACTTGTTGGCCTATATACTCCACCATTTCACCAGATTTGCATACAGGGATCTATAAAAGTGGAATTTATAACATTTTTTAAGGACCAAGTGTGCCCCCCCCCCCAAAAAAAAAAAAAATTAAAAAAACAAATTAAAAAAACAAAATTGTCACGACTGGACTCTATAAATAAATGGGATGCATCAATTAATGCAGGCCTTTATTTCCTGTTTGTGACGTTGTTTGCTCACTCTTTTTTACTTGTTCGATTGTTCTTGAGTTGGTAGGTGCCTCTAATAACTGCAGTAACCGTTCTTTTGACCGATTACAACCTGGCGAAATAAATTTACCCTTTCAACTCTTCTAAAAGGGATGGGGTATCTTGTAAACTAGTCCTAAAGGGATGCACCCTGGTTTTATTCTATGTCTGTGAAATATAGGACGTTATCTTTATTAAATACATCGATACGAAAGTTCATCTAATTTTTGAAAAGCATTCGTTTGCAACACAAAACACCAGCTCTTCGTCGCGCAATTGTTGTCAAGCGTGCAAATGGCATCAAAACTGCTATAGTATAAGCCGAATGCAATTTACAAGTCACTGGACTATTCTTTATATATATA